CGGTTTATTTTTCTATTTGCCTCCTGAAGGAGATCTTGGTTGCTTCCAAGTTTTGGCAATTATGACTAAAGCTGCTATAAATAAACATCTGTCTGTTTTTTTGTGTGTGTGAATATACATTTTCAAGTCATTTGGATAATTACCAAGGGGTATGATTGTTGGACTGCATGGTAAGAGTGTGTTGTTTAGTTTTGTAAGAAACTGTCAAACTGAGGCTGGGGCTGTAGCTCAGTGGCAGAGCGCTTTTCTACCATGCATGGGGCACTGGGTTCGAGCTTCAGCACCACATAAAAAAATAAAGGTATTGTGTCCACCTACAACTAAAAAATAAATATTAAGAAAAAGAAACTATCAAACTGTCTTCCAAGTGGCTGCACCATTTTACATTCCCATCAGTAATGAATGAGCATTCCTTTGACTCCATGTCTTCACTAGTACTTGGTATTATCAGTGTTTTGATTTTTGGCTATTTAATAGGTATATAATGGATATAATGGTATCTTATTGTTTTAATTTACAGTTCCCTACTGACATATGATCTTGAACATCTTTTTATATTTGCCTATTTTTAATAGGCAAAATTATTCACTTTCTTATTCCTGAATTTTAATCACTCTTTATACTTTATAACTGTCCTTTCTCAAATGTGTGTTCTGTAAATATTTTCTCCTAATCTGTGGCTTGTCTTCTTATTCTCCAACATTGTTTCACAGAGCACAAATTTTAATTTGAATAAAGTTAGCTAGTCGGTTATTTATTTCATGGCTCATGACTTTGATGTTATATCTAAAAAGTCATCTCTGTACCCAAGATCAATTAGATTTTTCTCTTATGTTATCTTCTGGAGTTTTAAGATTTTTTACTTTTTACATTTAGGTCTACTGATCCATTTTAAGTTAATTTTTGTGACAGGTCTAAGATCTGTGCCTAGATTCATTTTTTTTTTTTTTGCAAATGGATGTCCAATTGTTCCAGTGGTATTTACTGGAAAGACTATTTTTACTCCATTGTAGTGCCTTGATTCCTTTGTGAAAGTTCAGTTGACTATATTTGTTTGGTGTATATTTTACTTTTATAACCAGAATAAAGAATATGGTATACAGAAAATTATTTTGGTGAGGCAAATTCCATAAAAGCATATAGAAAACAAAACAAACCCTATTTTTACCCCACATAGATCACCAGGCATAAACCAGAGCAGAGGGGTTGATGGATGGCAAGCTCATCACAAGCAAGGGTCTGTGTGTACAGGAATGTCAGAAGACAAACCCACATCAGAACGTCAGGTTCTGAGGGAGCTGAGGCAAGATGGAATATAGGATCAATATTGGTCAATTTTGCATTGCTGTGACCAAAATACCTGACAAGAACAATTTCGAGAAGGGACAGTTTATTTGGGGCTCATGGTTTTAGAGGTCTCAGTCCATAGATGGCTGACTGCATTGCTCTGGGCCTAAGGTGAGGTAGAACATCGTGGCAGAAGGGGATGAGGGATGCACTGCAGTATTCATGGCAGCCAGGAAGCAGAAAGACAGAGTGGGGAAGGGACCAAGGGGAAGATGAACCCTTCCAGGTTATGCCCTGTGACCCATGTCCTCCAGCCCTGCCCCACTAGTCTACAGTTACCACCCAGTCCATTCTAACTAGATTAGGTAACAGCTCTCACAATCCAGTCCCTTCACCTCCAAACATTCCTGTGTTAACAGGAGCTTTGGAGGACAACTCTTATTCAAATAATAACAGGGTCCCAGTAACGCAACTGGGATTGGCATCTAAGATTACTAACCCAAGTAGAAAGAAAGCAGGAAGGGACTCCAGACAGGTAGATTTGCACAAGTGACATAGTGCTCATTTGGAAACCAAAGGTGACTGTTTTCTGTTTTTATATGCTCTCAGGCACTGTGGGAACAGTTGAAGCTGAGGTGAGCCAAGGCTCTGTGGATAGTGGTGGCTGTTGGTGTTGGCAAAAATGGCTGGGTTTGCTTCCCAATCAAACTTCATGTTCCTATTGCAAGTCATAGGTCATTAGACACTTTTGAATGTGAAATGGCAGAATGTTCTGGGATGTAATGTCTTTGTTGTGGCTCCCTTACAGATTACCTATATTTCTAGGAACTAGCCCAAACTTTCCTTTATTTACCCACTAACCTTCCCAGTTTTTAATTGAGTATACTGAGTAAGTAGGTTTCCAAGCTATGTGCAGTGTGTGTTGGTGGAGGTGAGTACTCAAGGCAATTTAGACTCAGTTCCTTAGCCCAAGACACTCTCAGCCTCTTCATAAAATAAATAAGAATGAAAACCATACAGTCAAGGCACAATGTGATAACTTAGAAGCGTTGAAGGTAAAGGTTTTAACTGTATTTGCTTACTAACTCTGTGATCTGAGACAGACTACATTGGAGTCAGTTTTTGCATTGGCTTAATATATATTTTAAAACTACTGTGCCTGGTATAAGATGTTAAATACTAAAGAGTATTGCTATTATTATCAAAGTGCTATAGGAGAAATATAAGGAAGGTGCAGTACAGATTCAATGGTCTTTTTTCACAAATAGGAAAATAAGAATGACAATATCTCAGGATTACTGTGATGATTATAAATAGTCTTTTCCTTCAAATTACTTTAGGATATACAGAATAACCATTGCTGAACTCTACTAGTATTGCTAATAAAAATGGAAGCAATCACTGATTACTCTTTTAAAAGACAAAATGGATCTGATTCAAATGTATGATATGCCAAGATCATTGTACTGTCATGTGTAACTAATTAAAACAAGTTAAAAAAGACAAAATGGTTACATTTTGGGGGTGCAAAGAGTAAATTTCTTCATAAAGAATACTCAGTAAGATTTTGTTGTCTTATGAACCCCTAAATTTAGGAGTCTTATGAATTTGGGACCTTGATATATTTTTGGTCTACAAACTTGTTTCTCCCTTACTATAAAACCTTTCTGCAGCATATTTGGAAGTAGAAATATTTCCATATTTGTGTGGGAAATAATAGCAAATTTATGTCCAGATGTGCTTCCAATAGAGAAAGGGGTTCAACCCTGTTCTAAGAGTCTGAGAGCAAGGATCTTGGATAATAATATCATCACAAGCTATAGTCCCTGAAACACTCTGAGCCATCAGATCTTTTACCCATAGCAAGACCTAGAGTCTTTATCTGGCATGATCAAGGAAGAGTTGATACCAGTTTATCCTCCACTGGGACTGTATTGACTCAAGACAGCTCTAGACTCACCTATCCCCACCTCATTGTGGCCTTAGCAATGGATGTGGTTGTCCAGTCGATAGAACAGACTTCACTGGGTGGACTTTATGTGGTCAGGGTGATGTTAAGCTCTATAAACGCTGCACATAGCCGGTGTTGCACCAGGCAGGCTCTGCCATGAGGTAGCTTATGATCCCATCACTTTGCTACTTCTGCCGTGGAAGTCTTTCTCCTTCAGCCTTGTGCTTTGTGCTTCATTTCCAGAAGATTCCACAGCCAACAAAGATTCTGGTCAAGAGTCTGAGTCTATTCCAGAATATACAGCTGAAGAGGAACGGGAAGACAACCGGCTGTGGAGGACAGTGGTGATTGGAGAACAAGAGCAACGGATTGACATGAAGGTCATCGAGCCCTACAGGAGAGTCATTTCTCACGGAGGTAGTCATGCTATGTGTGAATCTGGGAAATGGGGAGGGGTGGCCATATTTTTAAATGAGAAATAAATAAAACCAGGATTCTCTGTAACATGACATCCCAAAGACACCATGTTCTGTAGTCTGTGTTCAGGTAACAGAGAGTTAAGTGTGTTACGTTATCCTCTATCCACTAAAAATTTGAAAGTCTACTATGGCAAAAAACAAAAACAACAACAACAACAAAAACTTTTCAATGTAAAAAGGTCTTTGTGTGCCATGTTATAATCTGTCCAAATTTCTCAGAAGCCATAGTTGTCCAATGTCTTAATGTCTGTTTGGAATTCCTATCAACAGTGTTGAACTGAATAGCTTATAGTGTGTCATACCATGTCCTGTAGTAAGACCTGGTGGAACTCATTTCTATAAAATGCCTTTTGAATTCTCTTCAGAAGCTTTTGGGAATCTTTTTAGACTCAGCCTGGTACTTTATTTCCTCCTACCTAAAGTTTGCTTTTCTATAAACTACATCAGATCTAGGTCCAACAATTTCTAATCCCTTTGAAAGCTTCCACCTGCTTAGTGAGGGACCAGGAAAGGGGAAAGCATATTTTGTATTTTCAGTGCTTTCTTGAGGCCTGTAGGGGCATAAGAGCCTTGATTAATTTGAGATTCAAAAAAGTCAGAGGAGCACAAGCAACACATTGAACATTGTCGACTTCAGAAAACATCCACGGCTTTTGATTTTTCTACTGCATGAATTCCTTTCCCGCACTCCTGAGGTGCCACTGTAACCAACCAGCTGGTCCAGAAAAAGTGCAAGCTAACCAGACAATTGCTGCTGTCTATGTTCTGTCTTCCTCAATGAGTACAGGGAAATAAGAGTCTTGGCACTGAATTAAATCCGCAACATTTGTTTTCTAAAGAACCTGAGGACGTTTTGTTATTTCAGTTAAACATCCTTCCATCAGTAGAGCTTTTCCTTTCTGTCCCATGCACTGCCACCTTCTATAAGTACCAGGACCATTCAGGGAACCCAACTGTGACAGTGATGGAGAATGCCAGTCGGAGCCCTTGGCCATGCCCCATGTTTGCCTTGCCTCTCCTGAAATGGCAGTATGCCCCTGTGGTAGCTGCTGTGGGGTCAGGGACAGTGGTCTTGGAGAGAAACCTGTCCCACACCTCTTTGGAATGAAGGCTGGCCTGATCCTGCTAACAGACAAGTGACCTTATAGTAAACCCTTTTGTTTTTAGGGTGAAAACCACAACTGAAACACTCTCGAAATCTTCTCAGAGAGTCATTCCTCCTTTGTGCCACCCATAGGGTATTTTGGGTTTGTTTGCTTTTGGGAAATGAAACAAAGGCTGACTATAAGTGTGGCCTATGTTTATTCTTAAAAAAGGATAGAAAATACAGGAAAGTCTGTCAAAGTAAATTAGTCACCCCATGATAATCCCGGCGACATTTACCCCCTCGGCTCTTAAGGTCCTCGTGTTGTGATGAAGGCAGGCTCTGATGTTGCTGTCCTCGGCTGAGTTCTTTCTCAGTCCCCCAGCAGAATCACCTATTTGTCAACTCCTGGGAAGTCAGGTGGGCTGGTTGGATGGGTTAAGCCCATCGAGCTGGAGCCTAAATCAGGACAAAGTGATTAACAGCAGTACCGAGATGGTCGGGAAGAGCCACTGCCTCTGCCTGTCATGGCTTCTAGAAACTCACCTGAGACCTTAGGGCTAACCTGGTTTGCTGAGCTTTCTGTGCCTGCCACCTCCTGCCCTTGGCATTTTCTCCCCTCCATCATGTGTGGCAAGCTTGATTTTGTCTGTGTGACTGTCCAGTTTGTTTTGAAAGGAAGGGTGCCTTTCCTCTCCCTGGCTTTACCTCAGCCTCCTCCAGGCACTGACCTGCATGAATGTACCTCTGGCTGCTCTCATCCGGTCCATCAGCAAGAGGCCACCTTCTTACACGCTCAACCGCTTTTGTATCCTGTAGGTAAAGAGTGTTTGGATGTTACTTCTGAATTTGCCAAAGACTTGTCTTCCATATTGGAAACTTATATCCCTCTCTCAGATCTTAGATGACAAAGTTTCTTGGTTACCGATCTCTTGAGTTTGTCATCCTGGCTTCTGATGAGCATTTAAAAAGCAGACTTCTCAGCGAGCATGAGCCTTGCTCTGGAGCTTTGCCTTTTTGGTATGAGGCCGTTTTTCCCCTCTGGTCCTTAGGGAACCGTGGACAGTGATCTGTGTGGTAAATTGGAAGGGGGGTTAGCAAAAGAGTTGCAGAAGCTGGCCCCAAAGTCCGACACTGCCAGGTGCTCCCCGTGGGTTGGAACAAATAGTTCAGTCTTCAGCTTTGTCGACTTTGATATGAGCTATTGTCATAAGTCCTGAACACAATGCAGACCTGTGAGTTTAAGGCCTATCTTTGCCACTTAGTGGCCTCTGCCTCTTATCAGTCATTTACTTCTTCTGGGCTTCAGTTACTTCACCAGTCAAATTAAGGTGATCACAACGCCAGTGTTCACTTCCTATGATCCCAGAAACACTATCCCTGCCATCTGCTTAAATGGAAAAAAAAAAAAAAGCAAAAAGTGTTATAGTTATAATTAGTTTTGCTAAGTCAAGGGCATGGGGTCACGTGGAGGCCAGAAATGGCTTTTTTTCAACTTAGAGAACACATTTAAATAACCAAGGACAATCACACGAAAGAATTTTAACAAGGAGTTTCCTGTTTCCTTTCTTGTTCTTTTTTTTTTTTTTTTTCTCTTATTTCATTATAGGAGACTCAGGTAACCTTCTCTGAAATGTTGCTGGACAGATGATCCTGGAAAGAATGCGGAGAAGAGTTGCTGGCTGGTGTGTGTGTGTGTGTTTGGGTTGTGACTGTGACGTCTTTCCTTCTCTCTCCATTCCATTTGCTGGCCAGCAAACTTGTGTTACACCCCTTTCATGCCTGTCTGTGCCACCTCAGGTAAGGCTTGCCACCACTGCTTCAGATAGCCCAAGGAGGCTCCTTGGTGGGGTTGTTCCCACCCCTACCACATGTACCCTGTCTACCTCATGTTTATAAGGAAGAGAGTCTGACAAAGTAAATATTTTAAAAACCAAACTCCATATAAGTTATGCTGTTGCCAACAGGCAACTTCACCTGAAACTCTGCATATTTTAGGATAGAAATTTACCCAGGAAGCCTCTGGAGTGGGAGCGGGGGCAATGAGCAAATGATCCCACTCATTTTAGTTATTGCACTTCGCCAGCAGGCATTACCCAAAGTGTCCCTGAAGCCCGATGATGATGACTCTTGACTTAGGAGGAAAACTTTCATGAGGAATGTTTTCCTTCTGCTTCCTTTCCTAAGTCACCTTCTCTCCTATTCTCTTCTTTTCCCATCTCTTCTTCCCTTCTTACAGCAACTCTAACCTAGAGTATGAGGAACTATTTCTATTTGAAAAGTCCAGCAATATTTATATAAAGAAATATTCCTCACTTAGACAGTGATCACGAAGCAGTACACTGATCCTTCAAGTGTTCCTTCCACTAAATGAGTTCTGGAGAGCACCATCTGTGGCATTCATACAGGGGCCTAATTGCCATTTAAGATGACTTCTCAAATACTATTTATAAACCCCCGTCTTTCTTCTTTTAAAAAAAATTGCTATATTGTGTGCATATATGAATATGTAACAACAAATCCCACTATTATGTATAATTATAATGCAACCAATAAAAAATTAAAATGTTGGGCCAATAAAAAAATACAGAAAAACAATTTCACAGAAACCAGAAAAAAAGAAATCAAAATCAGTCATGACCTTGAAAATATTCTGATACCCTGGAGCCAGACAGCCCCATTTATAAAGATGTGTGCTTATTTGTTTTTTTTTTTGTTGGATTCATTATGTCTGTCGTCTCTTTTAATGAACTGTTTTTGTTGTGCTCAGTATAAAATGCATATCTTTGTGGTGTTAGCTAAGTCACCATATCCTTCGTGGATTTCCATTGAGTTATGAATTCTCAGAAATGAAATTGGTAGAACAAGCTTTTCTTGATTTAAAATATATCTCTTTCTGCCATTTCCTTCATATTTGCATTTTGAAAATAAGTTGGTAAATGCTTACATGTTAGAAAAGTTGGAACTAAAGCAAAACATCAGAAGGGAAGCTACTGTAATGTTCTTTCACAAACATGAGTTCCAGGGTGGCTGCTTCCATAGGTAGCATCTTGTAGAATATAACACCATATACAGCAACCGCAAATTAGTAATTCTCACAAGCCCACAGCTGGATATATTTTTGGTTGGTTTCGTTCTTCCCCCACCGCCTTGCAGTAGAGTCATATTCTTTTTGTAGAGAACATCTTATTAAACTGCTTTTTAGGAGTTGTTTAACCCATCCAAATTTATACCCAGTCAGCATTTTACACCAGAGGAATATTTAGAATTCTGAAAAAGTGCAACACTGAGTTTGAGAGGACCAACTCAGACATGAATGTGTGTTCTGTCCTTCTCAAAACTCTGAGGGAATCTCTATTTCATGATTCTGTTGTCCAGAACTAGATGATATTTAAATATCATTTAAATTGGGATATTAAAAAAATGATAGGCTATTTTAAAAATAATAAGTCAAAAAAGTGTCGCCTAGGGCTGGAGTTGTGACACAGCAGTAGAATGTGTGCTAAACATGTTTGAGGCCCTGGGTTCAAGACTCAGCACCCCCCACCCAAATGACAATACAGGACATTGCTTCCCAGTTTCGGTGTTGAAGACGCAATTTGTTCTATACTCCTACCTACGGGGATTTGACAGACACCTGCCATGAATTTCAATGATGAGCTCTAAGGGAATAAAAAGTTTGCTTAAAAGACAGAACAATGCCAAAATGATGTCAGATCTCTCAAAAGACAGGAATAATGTCCTGAGATGTGTCTACATGTTCCTTAGCCCTTGAAGTGTCAATGGCCACACTGACTTCCATTGACCATCTCCTATTTCCTCAGCATCACCTACACACAGCACTTCCCCACCCTCACCATCTTATTATTAGGAAGTAATTCTCAAGTTTTCCCAAACCACCTATTTTTATAAAACTCAAAGATAATTTAGCCGGGCCCTTCTTGAGCGTGCCCCTTTCTTTAAGAGGCTAGGCTCTAAATTCTGGGCTCAGTTACTCTAAGCCTGGCTAGAACTTTTCTCATACACCTTATGCTACCTATTGAGTTCAGAGGTCCCAGGGGTATTACACACAAGTGACCAGGCCTTGAAATCAAACAAAGGTGTTGTACATGTCTGTTGACTAGTATCTGGTTACTGGAGTGTGTGGGTGTGAGATGATATTGCAGTTCAGTGACGAACTGAATGAATTGGGGACTACAACTAAAAAGAGCTAAAAAGAATCAACATAACCTCTTTCTTAGCCATCAGAATGAAGAAATAGTATATAAATTAGCTTTTAAAAATAAATTTGTATTATATAAATTGCAAAAACAGTGTTGCCTGGGGCTGGAGTGAAGTGCTTACCTGGCATGTATAAGCTCTGGAGGAAAAAAAGTTACTTTTTTTGATAAGTTGAATATATATATATATATATATATATATATATATATATATATATATATATATATATGATAGGTATAGATACATGTGCCATGCACAACTATGTACAGTACATAAAATCATCCAAATATGCTCACACTATATATTTAACAAGTTACTTGAGTATCAAAAGATAATTATATTTGTATATGCTATAGAACTCTAGTCAACTCATGCTATATCTATCATTTCCATACACATACTTGCCAAATCTTCAGATTTATCAATAGGATCTTGTTAAGAGCTTTCAATCGGTTACAAATGTTTTTTTGTTTGTCCCCCAGGATACTATGGGGACGGCCTAAATGCCATCATTGTGTTTGCCGCCTGTTTTCTGCCAGACAGCAGTCGGGCGGATTACCACTATGTCATGGAAAATCTTTTCCTGTGAGTGATGCTTATGACAAAGTGCTTTGAGTAAATAAATGTCTGTGGGTATGTAATGGCAATTAAGGGAAGTAGGTGATGTAGAATATCCTGAGCCTTTGATAAAAAGTTAATAAGATTGCTGTCAAGGAGTGTTGTTTAAGAGGCTAGAACCTTTAAAGGAATTCTTTTGTCAGTAGAACTCATGGAAAATAAAGTGAGCAGAGTTTGTTCTCCCTCTAAAATGTCTGTAACATTTCCTTTGCGCAAAGTATTATTTTTGTTTCCTGATAATAAGTTCTTAATCCACTGATGAAAACTTGACTTCATTTATCTCTGCCCTTGTTTAATATGAGTTGCCCTTAATGTTTGATGACATAGTTATCATTTCTGAAAGTCAGATTTATAACTCATGTATTTTTCTGTGGTACCTGAATTTAGAAAACAAGCAAACAAAAATTAGATAACCATACAAAGAAATGAGTAGTACCCTCAGAGAAATGATCTTAAGTAATTGCATTGTTCCTGAGATAAAGTGGTAATAAATCACAACTCTACTAAAATGTCATTCACTCTGTAATTTGTTACATAATTATGGTGTGAACAGGATGAAATACTTCACGTGGAAACTGAAAAACTCCTTTTCCTTCCTGTGATCAGATACGTAATAAGTACTTTAGAGTTGATGGTAGCTGAAGACTACATGATTGTGTATCTGAATGGTGCTACCCCAAGAAGGAAGATGCCAGGGCTTGGCTGGATGAAGAAATGCTACCAGATGATTGACAGACGGTATGTGGACTCCATTATTTAACTAGTGTGTCAACTCCTTCAACAGCTCTCATATCAGATTTCTTTTTAGTCTACCAAATATGCAGTCACATTTTAAAAACATGGAGTTATGCATGTTTAAAGCAATAAATTATAGAAATACTAATAAAAGTGTCACTTGACACCTCAAAGTTGAAATAAAGTACAACCTTCCCAGATTTTGTGAATAGAGTCAAACTCAACAGACCAAGGCTATTTTAAACTGTGCATGTGCTATTGCCAATAGATATGTGACTTGAGTGGATCAGTTAAAGTACCTGAGCTTCTTGGGTGGTATCATGTGAATTGGTTGCTGTTTCGTGCACTGGGACAATGGTGGTCTGCATAGCACTGTGCTCGTGTTTCAGTATTCACTGTCAGTTCAAGGTATCCAGTGCTTTTGTGTCCTTGAGATACTTCTGTCCATACTTTTTTTTTTTTAAGAGAGAGAGAGAGAGAGAGAGAATTTTTTAATATTTATTTTTTAGTTTTTGGTGGTCACAACATCTTTATTATTATTTTTTTTTAATGTGGTCCTGAGGATCGAACCCAGTACCCTGCGCATGCCAGGCAAGTGCTCTACCACTTGAGCCACATCCCCAGCCCCCTACTGGTTTTATTAGGAAAAAACATTTTATTGCCATGTACAGGAAAATTGATATAATAAGCATACAAATTTATGATATCCAGTATGTATTACATCCCCTTGTATAAGAACATGAGAATGCCCAGTTATATATGAAACAAACCTGTTTTATGATACCAATGTTAATAATATAATGCTACAAATGCTGAAAAAATGTGCGCAAAGACCAAGAATTGTTAAAATGGTAAATTTTCTTTAAACAAAAGAAAAAAAAAACAAGACTTACTAAGATTAAATAAATTGTCAAAATTGTTATTAAGAGTGCATTCTTAGCTGGGCCTGGTGGTACACACCTGTAATACCAGTGGCTTGGGAGGCTGAGGGAGGAGGATCGCATGTTCAAAGCCAACCTCAGCAACTTTGCAAGGCCCTATGCAACTTAGCAAAACCCTGTCTCAAAAATTTTTTAAAAAGGTGGAGGGGGATGTGGCTCAGTGGCTAAGCACAGCTGGGTTCAATCCTTGTTATACAAAAAAACAAAAAACAAAACAAAACATTTTTTTCCAAAAGAGTAAAGATAATATTGACAAAAATGAAAAGCATCATTAACAAAATACACCATGGTGACTATAGATATATGCACTCCAATAATACTACTGTTCTATTTTACATTTATTTCTATGGGAAAATGAGATTTGAATCGTATATGTTTCAAATTATGTCTTGAAAAACATTTTTTGTTAATCGTGGCAATTTTGTACTTTCCATCAGATAAGAATATAGATATTCTTATTTGGGGATTTATTTTCTATTTAATTCCCACTGAAAATGGGTTAAAAGTAATAGGTATTTTTTGTTTGTTTGTTTCTTCAAAATAGATTGCGCAAAAATTTGAAATCATTCATCATTGTTCATCCTTCTTGGTTCATCAGAACAATCCTTGCGGTGACACGACCTTTTATAAGGTACAGTTATCATTCTAGTAAAAGCACTACTAGTAGATTTTTTTAGGTATATAAATTATTCTATAAAAATAATTTATAAGCTGAGAGTATTTAGGAAAATTTATTTTGCCTCAACCTTTCCTGGAAAGATACTTTGTTCTACACAGCAGGAGTCCCTAATTAAGAGTTAATATTTGAATATTAATATTCCCCCCTGTTTATTGTAAAACACAACCTCTAAATTGCTTCCTATGAACATGGAACATGAAGTGATAGGACTTCCATGCCACATTAGAAAAGGAAATAGAGAAAACTTTTTCAATGATATGTTATTTTATAACAGATAGGAAAGCAGAATAATATGAAAATGGAAAATAAATACTGACCAGGTACAGTATTGTCTTTCTGTTTCATTTCTTCTGAACAAATATCATATATGTCACCAAAATTAGGTTAAAGAGTCCAGGCAGCCATTTCAAGAGTTGTATTTTGAGCAAATGTGAGGATTCTTGCTTTTAATTCAGTGAATTTGAGCAAATGTGAGGACTGGGATAGCTAGGTCAAATGGTGGTTCCATTCCAAGTTTTCCAAGGAATCTCCATACTGCTTTCCATATTGGCTGTAACAATTTGCAGTCCCACCAGCAATGTATGAGTGTGCCTTTTCCCCACATCCTCACCAATACTTATTGTTGTTTGTAGTCTTCCTAGCTGCCATACTGACTTTGAGTGAGATGAAATCTTAGTTTTGATTTGCATTTCTCTAATTACTAGGGATGATGAACATTTTTTCATGTATTTGTAGATTGATTGTATATCTTCTTCTGAGAAGTGTCTGTTCAGTTCTTTGGCCTACTTTTTGACTGAGTTATTTGCTTTTTGGTGTTAAGGTTTTTGAGTGCTTTATATATCCTGGAAATTAGTGCTCTATCTAATGTGCGAGTGGTAAAAATTTGCTCCCATTCTGTAGGCTCTCTATTTGCCTCATTGATTGTGTCGTTTGCTAAGAAGAAGCCTTTTAGTTTGATACCATCCCATTTATTGATTCTTAGTTTTATTTCTTGTGCTATAGGAGTCTTTTTAAGGAAGTTGGGGCCTAATCCGACATGATACAGATTTGGGCCTACTTTTTCTTCTATTAGATGCAGAGTCTCTGGTTTAATTCCTAGGTCCTTGATTCACTTTGAGTTGAGTTTTGTGCATGGTGAGAGATAGGGGTTTTATTTCATTTTGTTACATGTGATTTCCAGTTTTCTCAGCACCATTTGTTGAAGAAACTATCTTTTCTTCAATGTACATTTTTGGCGCCTTTGTCTAATATAAGATAATTGTAGTTATGTGGGTGGGTCTCTGTGTCCTCTATTCTGTACCATTGGTCTACCAGTCTATTTTGGTGCCAATATCATGCTGTTTTTGTTACTATTGCTCTGTAGTATAGTTTAAGGTCTGGTATAGTAATGCCACCAACTTCACTCTTCTTGCTAAGGATTGCTTTAGATATTCTGGGTCTCTTATTTTTCCAGATGAATTTCATGATTGCTTTTTCTATTTCTATGAGGAATGTCATTGGGATTTTGATTGGGATGCATTGAATCCGTATAGTGCTTTTGGTAGTATGATCATTTTGAGAATGTTAATTCTGCCTATCCAAGAACAAGGTAGATCTTTCTACTTTGTAAGATCTTCTTTAATTTGTTTCTTTAGCATGCTGTACTTTTATTTGTAGAGGTTTTTCACCTCTTTCATTAAGTTTATTCCCAAGTATTTCTTTTTCAGGCTATTATAAATGGGGTGATTTTCCTAGTTTCTCTTTCAGTGGATTTATCACTGATGTACAGAAGTGCCTTTGATTTATGGATGTTGATTTTGTATCCAGCTACATTGCTGAATTTATTTATTAGTTCTAGGAGATTTCTGGTGGAATGTTTTGGGTCTTCTAGGTATAAAATTATATCGTTGGCAAATAGTGCTAATTTGCATTCTTCTATTCCTATGTGTATCCCTTTAATTTCTTTTGTCTGTCTGATTCTCTGGCTAGAGTTTCAAGAACTATGTTAAATAGAAGTGCTGAAAGAAGGCATCCCTGTCTTGCTCCAGTTTTTAGAGGGAATTCTTTGAATTTTTCTCCATTTAGAATGATGTTGGCCTTGGGCTTAGCATAGATAGCCTTTAAAATGTTGAGGTATGTTCCTGATATCCCTAGTTTTTCTAGCATTTTGAATATGAAGGGGTGCTGTATTTTATCAAATGGTTTCTTTGTATCTATTGAGATGGTTATATGATTTTTATCTTTGAGTCTATTGATGTGATGAATTACATTTATTGATTTCCGTATGTTGAACCAACCTTGCGTTCCTGGGATGAGCCCTACTTCATGGTGCACTATCTTTTTTGATATGTTTTTGTATTCAATTATGGCAAATTCATTTTAAAGAATGAGTTAATGGTCTTCTATATACTGGAAAACTTACACAGCTTCACTGCTGTCCCTAAGAATCTCAAAATCCAGCAGTGGACATAGGCAGATAAGCAAACATATACAATACAGGATGCAACTGAAACACCCTGCCAGGATTGACTAGCTGAAAACAGGAAGAAGAGCAATCCAGGCAGACGAAAGAACAGATTCAAATACACCAAGCAGGATAGAACAAAACATGTTTGGAGAGCTGTGAATTCCAAGGAGCAAACCCCTGGAGCTGGAGGCTTTCCCCTTGCATGATTTCTTTCCTGATTCTTGATTATCCACTCAGCCTTTAGCAAAATCTGAACTTAAAGATTGGGGTGTAGCTCAATGGTAATGTGCTTGCCTGTCATGCACAAGGCCCTTGGTTGGATCCATAGCGTTGCAAACAACAGACAACAACCAAAAGAAACCCGAATTTCATTCACACACTCCAAAGCAAGAAAGATGCTTAATGTAGTCTATCACTGGTGATGTGGGTTTGCCCAAGATTTAACAAGAAAGATAGGAGTGACTTTATGGACAGGAAGGTTGTCCAGAAGTCATAGTCCACAGGCCCAGGGTTAGAACCTTAAGGAAAATATTAAAGGTAGATATATAGAAAAAATAAAAAAGCCTTGAAAAAACTTCTTACCAGAATGCACAGTAGCTAAAAGCACATGTGACAGTGCTATTGGCACCCAGATCAGCACAATCCCATAGACTAGGGAGGTGTGTTCATGTGAAACTATGGAGAATGTTAGAACCTTGAGCAAATTCACTTTCAGCTGGAATTTTTATATTTTAAAAATAAGTTTGCAATTACACAAATATTAGAAAACACGTTCTTCAGAAATGCATCTTCTTATTACAGGTAGGACTAAATTCTTCCTTCAGCAGTTACCAATTCCCCAGAAGCAAATTCTCTTATCAGTTAGTTTCACTGATATCCTTCCAAGTTATTTTTTATACATTTACACATGTCTAAAATGAACCTGCTTAGATGCAAGCTGTTTGTAATTCAAATCCAATTATTGGAACACATTTTTTTGATGTTGGATTGAACTTTCAAATGAAAACTTACAAATTAAAACTTTCAAATGAAAACAACCAGAGATATGAAAAATTGTGCTCTATATGTGTAATATGAATTGTAATGCATCCTGTTGTCATATATAACAAATTAAAATTTAAAAAAATTGAAGAGATATCAGTAGAGTGAAAGTAGCAGAAAGTGGGAGGAGGGGAAGGAATGGGGAAATACTAGGGAATAATATTGATCAAATTTTATTGTTATATTGTACACATGTACAAATATGAAATAACAAATCCTACCACTATGTACTAGTATAATGCACCAATAAAAATATGGAAAAATAAAATTTATGGAAGAAAAAAAAGTATTCTAAAATAAAACTACAAAATTAAGACAAAATTGAGTTTACATATATTGTTAACATATATTTACATATATAAATAAATATATTAATTAATATATACATATATATTTACATATATTATTAATATTATTAACCTTGGTAGATAATGAAAAGACTCATTATACAATTTTTGTTTGTTAAAAACAAATAAACAAGCAAAAAGTCAAAGAAAACATAATCCAGTGACTACTCAGAGAGGCAGCTGCTGTGGGGAAGCCATGTGAGGAGTGGTCAGGAGTGTGGACTTTGGAGTCATAAACTCTGTTCCCCAGAGTGCTGCCAATTACTAATGGTGAGACCCTGGGTCTCAGCTTCCTTATCCTTAAAAACTGACAAAAGGATAATTATAGTACCTACCTCTCTAGGCTATAGAAAAAAATATATAAGTGGATATATATACATATATGTGTGTGTGTGTGTGTATGTGTGTGTGTGTGTGTGTAATATATATATATATATATATATATCACTTAAAATAATTCCTGGCTGAATATGACATGATTTCATTTATATGGTCGGCCCTCTATATCCATGGGTTCTGCACCCGCAGATTCAACTAACTGCAGATTGAAAATATTAAACAAATTAAACAACAACAACAAAAAAATGTATCTCTGGACATGTACAGACTTTTTTCTTATCATCATTCCCTAAAACAATGCAGTATAATGACTATTTATATAGCATTTACATTGTATTAGGTATTACAAATAATCTAGAGATAATTTTAAGTATATAGGGAGAAATGCATAGGTTTTATGCAAATACTGCATATAACTGTGTTGTGTAAGGGCCCTGAGCATCATTAGATTTTGACATCCGAAGTATGTGTATGTTGGGGGAGATCCTAGAACCAATTCTCCATAGCAAGTAAAGGACCACTGTATGTGAACCTACTAAAGTTGAACTCAGAAATAGAGTATAGATTGGTGGTCCCTGGGAACTAGGGTTGGGAAATCATCAAAGGATAGAAAATTATAATTGGAGGAATAAGTTCAAGAGAGCTATTGTACAATAGGGTGACTGTAATTAATAACAATGCATTCTAGTTTTTAAAATTACTAAGAAAAAAAACTTGTTAAGAGTAGATTTAAAGTGTTCTTACCCCCAAAAGCAATAAGTATGTGAGGTAATACTTATGTTGATTAGCTTGACTTAGCCATTTCACAATGCATACACATTTTAAAACATCTTGTTGTACACAATAAATATTTACAATTTTTACTTGTCAAGTTAAAAAAATAGAAAACAGTGGCAACAGCAAAACAGTGTCTGACCCATGATGACTATTCAAATAGTGTTAAGCTTTCTTCTTAAAATACTGGGCCAAGGTGTTACATCAGAACTTGGGGACTGGGGTGTAGATCAGAGGGTTAGGGTGCTGCTTCATATATGTGAGGTCATGGGTTCTATTCCCAGCACCAGAAAAGTAACAGACAAACAAACAAAAAAGATTTTTAAAGAAGAGACAATGACTTTAGAATGGAGAAGTAGCAGCTAATGATAATGTTTTTCTTTCTTTTTTTTTCTTTTAGTTCAAAATTCAGCAGTAAAATTAAATATGTTAATAGCTTATCAGAACTCAGCGGGCTGATCCCAATGGATTGCATCCATATTCCAGAGAGTATCATCAAGTAAGTCTGATGGTTCTGAAGATTTGGTAAGAAATAGTATATTTGTGGAAGAAGTGGATGGAAAATAAGTCCTTTCTTGAATAGTGGGGAAATAATGTTGCATATTTAAAACAAATATTAAATGTTATCAAATATGTATAGTTTTTCCCATAAACTATAGTCTACTGTTCTTTCAGATCATTCTTTACATAATTTTCTTTTGGAATGATTAATTATTATTCATTTTTACCTTGAATTCTGCTTTCACTTTGAAGAAAGTATAAATTTAATATTAACCAGTGCATTCATTACTTGTGATCCCCACTCTGTACATAAACAGTAGGATCTTAGCATAGTTTGGATTTCATTATTGTCTTATATGAAGAAATTTGTCTGTAAGACTCCAGGAAAATACAAGGAAATAACTCTTTCTGTTTTCTTCTAAATCTCTTTTTTTCCCCCATGATTCCCTTTAGGTACAAGATAAGAAGGCAGAGGGCATTTGCCCAGTGGTGGGTAGGGTGGTTTTCTTGCTCAGTACAGAGTAACATGGCAGCCTTTAAGGAAAAGCATGGGTGCTGAAGGTCTCAGAGCTTTGCTCCAAAATAAGAGTAAAAGTTAATGAAACAAGTACTTAGAGCTGGATGTTAAATTGGAGACACTTGAAAATGAACATTTTCTATCTTTTATGTTGTTGCAAAGAACCACTGCTTTTTGTGTACCTTTTTTTTTTTCTTCCACTGCATCTGACTCACCAGTTTTGATTTGATTGGAATTGAAAGGGACTTCACCATCAGTTCAAAGAAAAAAACTCAAATATTGCATAGCTTCCTCAATGAGATAGAACCAAAACTTTCCTCCCAATTTGAGCTCCAAAACAGTCCTCTCATTTAAAACAAACAAACAAACAAACAAAAAAAAAAAAAACTAGAAGGAAAAGATTCTCATTTAATGCGTGTCTAGGGCTGGGGTTGTGGCTCAGTGGTAGATTGATTGCCTAGCATGCATGAGACACTGGGTTTGATTCCTAGCAAAACACACACACACACACAAATAAAACCTAAATAACGTATGTCTATTAGGTTATGATGTGCCTGCCATAAAGGAGTTAATTTTATATCATTGATTTAATTCCCATAGTAAACCCCCATTTTATAGATGGTCCTGATAAGTTACTTTGTGGACTGGGGTTGTAGCTCAGTGGTAGAATGCTTACCTAGCACACGTGAGGCACTGGGTTCCATCCCCACCACCACATAAAATAAAAACTGAATAATCAAAATAAAGGGATTGTATCCACCTATAAGTAAAAAGAAGAAGAAGAAGAACTTACTTTGGGAAAGAATAAGTAGGAACCAGAAAGAGATGAAACTAGAATTCAAATCCAAGTCAGCCTGGCACCCAAATTCCCATGTCTTATTATGGTAAATTTCTTATCTCCCTTAAGCTGTCCGTCTAAATTCAAATCTTAGAAGTAGATAAATGCATTCTGGTTTTTCTCCATCTCCCAAATCAGCATAAATACAGGATACTGATGGACTTATAGTGGTCAGTGGACTCAGCTGAATCAAGCAGAGTGTTTGTAATATCCTAACAATGGCGGCTTTAATCCTCAATAACATCAGAGAGTTACCACAACCAGCACACCTCACAGCTTTGGCCTGCTGCCCATATCCAAAATTCACTGCTACTCTTTAAATTTAAAAAGTGCTGGCTATGCATCTCCTATAATGCTGCCTTTCTTTGTAAAAGATGACATGACATTTCTCTCTTCCATTGGTCATTTTCCAGGTAAATAAGGTAATGCGTCCATGGTGTGGGAGAGACAATAGAATGAAAAGAGAATGGGCTTTGGAGGCTATTAGATTTGAAGCTTCCCTCCTATTTCTCAATGTCTCTGAGACTTCAGGCAACCTACTAAATTATCTGACTCTTAAATTCAGCATCTGTAAAATGGGAAAGTAATTCATTCATCATGGGATGGTCCTCAAGACTGAATGAGAACAGTGTACTTCAAACATTCAGGAAACCACCTGGCAGAGTTGGTAATCTAGAATGTTATTTATTACAATCATGTTGCTTTTGGATACTCACTGCAGTATGGGGAAATTTAATTGAAAAGTTAAATATGACCAAGGCTGTTTTAATTTGTCTGCGTATATCAGTTCTCCAGGGCTCAATGTGGGAAAAGTTACCTCAGGAAGAAGGGTCCCATTCAGAAAGATTTTCTTTTGGAGATAGATATTTAGCAGCCAGATGTTCTCCCACTTGTCCGTGTTTCTGTCTTCTGTAATCCATCTCCCTGGGATGTCCTTTCTGCTGTTTCTGTTACTGGTCTTTGTTTTCACATTATGCAGTTTTCAAATGATACAAGCCATAACATTTTTCTGTTACTAAATAACATACAAAAGACTTGATCTCAGCTAATCACATGACCAATATTCAGCTGGGATAGAGTCTATCATCAAAGGGCTTACATGATGGAAAATTTGCTCAACCAGGAATGGGACTGATTGGTTGATTGATTTGATTGATTAATCAACTGATTACAGTTAATTCTCATTATTTGTGGCAATTAGGTTCCATAAAATCATTGTAGCCAATTAGTAAATACTGAACTATTATTCCTAGGGAAAATACATTTCTGTAAGTCTCCAGTCACAACATTTTTATAACCCAATCAAAATATTAGTTTATTTTATGTATTTTTCTGTTTAAAGATACCTTATTAGTATATACTGTTGATTCATGAGCATTGAACTCAAGGCACTACAACATGTGTCTAAGCAGATCTTCTCTAACACATACATCCTCTGTGAAGCAGGTCACAGCCTTCTTGTATACAGCAACACTAGGCAACGTTTTCGGCACAACATTTTGGGGGAAATTTAAAATAGCAAAATCACTAACAAAAGAACAAAAGTGAGGAAAATACATCACCAAGTAAACTAGAAAAAGACATTTGTTTACAGTGTGAAACTCAAGAAGGCAGAGCCTCACCTACATGACCTCAGTTGGCGATGTGCACGCATACTGGGCGACTCAAACTTTTGGCCACCCTGTATGTATTCACAAGTGACCAAAAAAGTGCCACATGTTGACTATGGGACTACAAATAAGTTTCAGTGAACAGGTAAATTTTCAAATATGGAATCCACAAAGAGTGAGGATTGACAGTGTTTATTTTTAAATTATGACTCATTGATTACATCTAAAGAAAATATGTTTTCTCCCAAAAGCCAATTTGATGATTATTTGGATAGAATTTTTCTCTCACAGTTTTAAACATTTACCTGTCATTTTTCCATCCATTTGCTTATTTTCCTCATGGCATCCGTTTTTATCTCATAAGGTACGATGAAGAGAGATCTTATAAGAGAAGTGTGAGGTAAAAATCTCCTGATAACCTTCACGCTCGACCCCCTGTGTGTGCACTCCAGTGTTTTACTCCTGGGTGACCTCAACATGCTACCAAAGCAAGAGGTTGTTGTATCAGTCCTTTGTCTACCATTTCTGTTCTTTGTCGTATGTGTAAAGCTGTTGAGGTCAACCTGATCTGCAACTGAAACCTACTAAACCAGATACACCCTTGGCTTGGCCCAGGCTGCAAGCTAACTTTAACTGTTTCCAACACATTGATGTGGATGTTTCCAGCTTTATTCAGCCAGCATGTTTATGATCCCCTTGCAATTTTCACATATACCTTTATGAAGGAATTTGCAAAGGTAACCCACACCGAACGCCCAATGGGAGGAAATGACGCCACATTTAACTGTGTCTTGATGCTCCAGAGGATGGTTCTTAAAAGCAAACACACACCACTTATGTTTGGCTCTGCTTTGCTGGGTGATTCTCTCATGCTCTGCTTGCTTCTTTTTTGTTTCTTTTCTACATCGGTAATTTTTGCTCATGCAGACTGGATGAAGAACTGAGAGAAGCTTCAGAAGCAGCTAAGTAAGACTTGGTTTTAATTTAGCAGCTGGTGTGACTTTGGCTTAGATTTCAGGAATGAATGGGAAGAATCTGCATGCTTGGTGTTTTATTTTTGCATCCTGATAAGAATGCTGCATTTTAAAAATGTCTTTCTCCCATGGTAAATGCAATCTCTGCTTTTCTTTCTACAGTCTTTTCCCCATGATCTTGGTTATCTTAAGGAAAGCATTTGTCACTGTTTAATTTTTTAATATGCAATTCTAGACACCATAACAAAAGAATTGTCACAGGCACTACCACATAGGATATGACATCAGATGACTGTGAGCAGAACTTCACACATTCTATTTATGGGGGAAATGATAGCAAGTTAAAATTTGGAAGATTTTTGTAGAATCAATTTTATGGCCTTCCAAGATTTAAAACAACAGTACCACCTTATTTAGTAACTTGGAAACATTCCTTAACTCAGAGCCTCCATGATATTTTGAAAAATGCAGAAAAAAAAAAGTCATTGCTCACTATTGTTGAGGTATGATATTCAAAAAAGTAAAAGTCATAATGCTCATGAGAATATAAAATGAACACATTCCAATGATTTTATTAAACTAATTATTTAATTTGGGAGCTAGTGAAGTATTAAAGTCAATTTGAAGAGCATTGGAAAATTAGAGATATGTAGTACTTCCCTTTTATCAGCCGGATATTATTATCTTATTTGTTCCAGGACATTCCATGGATTCTGGAAAGCACAAACAGCATCAAACCCTAAATATACTGTTTCTTCTATAATAAAATAGCTGTGATAAAGTTTAATTTATAAATTAGGCAGAATAGAAGATTAACAATAACTAGTAATAACAATATTAACAACAACAATAATAAACAAATATAATAAAGGTTGTTTAAAACTCATGGATTATTCCCGGAATTTTTCATTTAATATTCTCATACTGTGTTTAAACTGCTAGTAGAGAAATTACAGATAAGAGGGGACTACCATATAGGCTATTTACAAAAGAATGTTTGATAAGGTTGTTGGGTTAAATACAAAACTGGTTAATGTCCAGTAGGGCAAAAAACTGTAACACTGGGTTATCAGAAAGTATTTGCATCTCTGTTGGTCATAAATCTGCAAGTTAACCTCTCCCCTTACAGAGCTATAAAATAGCCCTAGAGTCAGCCCAAAGCTCCTCTGAAAAAGTACCCAATCTTTTTTTTCTTGTTCCAAGTTACAAAGAAATATTTTGAAGCTTCATGTTAAATGTAGATAAGTGCTACTCTGGAGATCCTGCCACACTAAGTAAAGTACTTGAAGCTGCTTCCCCATTTCAAATGTTGCTTACACTGTTGATTTTTACAGCAGGCATTCATTTTAACAGAGCATGAAAGCAGGAAGTCTACAAACAGTTATAAATTCTAAATGAATATGATCTAAATAATTAAGTTTTACTGCTTTGTTGTAAATAAATACCAATTCCTCATTAATACAATTTATTTAGACATTTTTTTTCTGTAACACATTTTTATTGTAAGTAGCCTATAGAATTATTTGCCTGTAGTGTGAATCTTTTGTATTAAAAATGAAAGTTTTTTTGCTTTAGAAATTTTGTCAACAGTGTAGTTAACTGTTACAATACTCTTATTCTTTTTCTTTAAAGCAAATTAACATCCATTCACATGAAAAAAAAACCCTCAAAATAACATAATTTTTATTCTAACAGAATCTTCTTACTTTCCAACTCAACTATAACAAATAAGTAGTTGTGGAAGGAAGATTTTAGGAATCTAGGAACCACGTGTTGGTGTAATGTACAGCATTTATATGCACTCGATTGGTTTGTGTCATGAGGTTCCTCCAGAAAGAAACTTCAATGCATTCTCTTTTAGGAGGATAACATATTAATGAAATCAAGGAGCCATTTTCAAAATAAAAGATCGAGAGGAGACATCAATAATTTCCCAGCCAAACCTATTACAAAGTCATATTGTCATTTTTTTTTCATTATTGCCATGAAATCTTGGCTCCTTCAATAGGTTTCCCCCCCCCCCCTTCCATATTGCTACTCTTCCTATTTGGCTACCATAGTAAAACAGTTATTTTTGGTTTCATTGTGTAGCTTTCTCCTTTTTCTCTCAAATACCTAAATATTTTAAATGGCCCTGAAAAGCCTCAATCTCCCTCTTAAAAAAGCACATTGATCATGCCTGAGAGTTCAATAAATGTATGCTGCAAAAATTAATGCATTTACATAAAAGTAGGTTCATTACTTTTGAACAGTGGCTCCCCAATTTTACTGTACATCACAGTCACCTGGAGCAC